GTATAAACCTATAACACGCTTTTAAGTATTTGCAACTCATTTGCTTTATCAAACATTTACTATTGGGGTTTACAGTGTATTTCATTATTTCTGATTTCATTTTTTGCAAGGTCTTGCTGGATTACATTTATGAAAAATAGGCTGGTCCTAATTTCATGAAGTAATTCCTACACACGTTATTCATAGAAATAATTAAAACAAACATGTAGACGAGAGTGACTAAAGACAACAGCAGAGTGAAGAAATGTGCTCAGTTTGTCCTCCAGCAGTCTAAGCCTATAGCAGCAGAACTAAGGAATAACTCAGGAAACCTAAGTCTAACTATAGGATTCATCAAAAATAAAAGTGTTCAGTCTAATCTTAAAATTAGACCGAGTGTCAGCCTCACAAACATTAACAGGAAATTGGTTCCACAAGAGAGGAGCTTGGTAACTGAAAGCTCTGCCTCCCTTTCCTTTCTACTCTCAGAAACTCTAGGAAACACATGTAGACCTGCAGTTTAGGAAAATTGAAAAATATGGAACAATAATATTTTCAATATAAGATGGAGCTTGGTTATTGAGAGCTTTGTATGTTAGAAGTACTATTTTAAATTATGTTCTGAATTTGATAGGGAGCCAGTGGAGAGAAGCTAAAACTGGAGAAATATGATTTTTTTCTCCCGACTCTCATTAGAACTCTAGCAGCAGCATTTTGGATTAACTGAAGACTTCTTAAGTGTTTGTTGGATGCCCAGATAATAAAGAATTACAGTAGTCTAGCTGTGATAAATGCATGAATCAGTTTTTCTGCAACATTTTTGAACAAGTTGTTTCTTATATTACGAAGGTGGAAGAAGGCAGTCTTGGTAACATTTTTAATGTGGGGATTAAAAGACATATCCTGATCAAAAATAACACTAAGCTTCTTTACATTAGAACTGGAGGCCAGATTAATGTCATCCAGAGAAGGTGAAAGGCTGCAAAGTTCATCCCCAAGACGTTCAGGTCCAAAAACCACAACCTTTGTCTTATCTGAGTTTAGAAGCAAAAAATTAAGAGTCCAGGTTTTTATGTCTATAAGACATGCTTGTTGTTTAAGTTAATGGTTGGTTTTATCAGGTTTCTTGGATAAATATAACTGAGTATCATCAGCATAACAACAGAAATTTATCCCATGCTGTTTAATGACTTTACCTAATGGAAGCATATATAAAGTAAAGGGGATTGTTCCAAGCACTGAACCCTGAGGAACTCCATGACTAACTCTGGTGTAAAAAGAAGATTCATTAACAAAGTGGAATCTATCAATTAAATAAGACTTCAACCATTTTAGAGCTGTTCCTGTAATCCCAATATTAAGTTCAAGCCTCTGTAATAGAATATTGTGATCAAATGTATCAAATGCAGCACTGAGATCTAACAGGACAAGAATGGACACAAGTCCACTGAGGCCATGAGAATATCATTAGTAACTTTCACCTCAAAGAACCTCTGGAATATAATGAAGAGGAAGATGCAGGGTAAAAAGCCATTAATCAACTGAGCTGATATGAGGTTTTCTCCAGGAGGTAAAAAAAAAGTTCTTCATGAGTAACATGAAAAATGGTGAAGAAAATGCCTAAACTCATGACAGATGGGATGTTTTGATTTTTGATCTCTTCTAAAGTCAAAACATTAGGGTTGGGACGTAAAAACATTGCGGTTTTACTGTTATTTTAACCATTTGTAAGGTTCTGATATTAAATGCTCTAAATGACTGGATTTTTATTTGCAATTTGGAAAAAATGTTGTCAATAGGTAGAATAAGACAAAAATATTAATTTTATTTGAAAATCTATTTGTACATAGAAAAGTCAGAGAAAAATACCAGAATAACTGATAATTTTTCAGTGGGTTAGATGATTAATTTGGAGCTACAGTATATCTGCTTATTTCTTCTGTCCAATCCCTGCAGAAACACCACCCCCATCCCTCATATCACGTGCTCCTTTGTGAGAGGCTGTACTCTATAAATAATCCAGGGAAGAGGAAGTGATGGATGGAGGCCAGGAACAGCTGGTACTGAGGTCCACTTCCTACTGAGTCGTAATTTGCGCTGACTCTCAAAGCTACTGAGCACTTCAGTCTCTGTTTCCTCTAACGGGGAGGGAGGGAGAAGCTCTCTGTGCCTAGTAACCATGTCCATGGGATTAATTTATAGGTTTTTAAATTAAAGGCACATCAGTTGTTTGTTTTGCAGTTAATCATCTGAGAACTGATTGACTGCTTCTTCAGATGTTTTTGATCATTTTGCATTATTACCGTAATTAAAAAAAACGTTCAATCTTTGTACATCAGCTGCAGCCTTTGGAGGGTTTTAACCAAACAGGGCAGTAATGAATCATTTACTGCATCCAGTGACTGTTTCCTGATGCAGACACCATCTTTCTAGACCGACTTAAAAATTCATGCTGAGTAGAGAAGAGTTCAATTGAAAAGAAAACTTTGTTCTTCCCTGGCTATGTTCTATTTAAAATGCAGTAAATCCAGTTTGTTTGCTACAAAACAACAGCTGCTGGTTTGGTCCGTCTCTGCAGATCACCAGGCTGTTTTAGATCAGAAACATGCAAATTTACATTGGATTTTATGTCTGCAAAAAAAGCTAAGTATAACCTACTTTTTGAAGAGGTGTCGGTCCAGTGCACCATCTGAGGTGGTCTTCAGAGTCACCTTTAGCATCTCCATGCACTCCTTCAGTCGTGGGTCTCCTGTTCGGAGCCCTGTGGATTTAAGAGCCTGGAGACAGAGGAAGGGACAAAAACATTAATACAGTAACAAGCCAATTTCAGCCAATATGAATATCTAATATTAATATTGCAGTTATGGCTGATAACTGATATTTACAGATATTACACAAACACACAAATTATATACATGCAGTATATACACACAAACACACTTCTTTCTGGGATGATAAAATTTTGCGCGGACTGAAAATCATGTGAAATGAATTTTTGAATTTCTTGCTTTAGTTTGAAAATTTTACTTTCAAAAAGATTGCATTGACAGTATAAAATACAAATAACCAGCAGTATTAACTTCTACCCTGCACCTGATGGTGGGATAATGCCTCACCCAATAACCGTAGTAAGTTGCTGTTTGTGCTTATATTTTAAATATTCTAAGCGCTGGCTATTTAGTGCACAGTAACTACCGAATGTAATAAAATGTACAAATCAATAAGGTGGTTTTATACCGTGGATCTATATAGCTTTTAGATACTTTTCTTTTCATTTTTTGCTTAGCCCTTGCACTACAAGTTCACAAGCTCATTTTATGCTAGAAAATGCGACGGCTTTATTACATACTTAGTTATCAACGTGATTACTCTTTATTTTAATCACCAACACAGACCCGCATGCGATGCTATGCGACCGGCTGCAGCGGAGTCCGCTCAGCTTCTAAAATAGAGCTCATAACAGCAGAGTTACAAGTTAATGTTGTGTCCTCAACTTGAAAAACATAAGGTGCTTGTGCACTAAAAACAGCATAACTCCAGGAAAAATGAGCTGCTGTTACGTCCAGAACTCACATAAAAACAGAGATTTACTGGATCTCAGCTAGCACCTGTCTGCCTCTCCACACACACCTGCAGCTGCACTCATGATCATGACCGGAGCATGAACCTTTATGGTACAGATTAGAGACAGGCATAAAAATGTGGAAAATAAATTATTTTCAGTGAATGGAGTTATTTTTTTCTAAAAGTTGTATTTTTAACTGATATTTTATATCTATGAGTTATGTTTCTTCTGAACAAAGTAAATTAATTTCAGAAGCAGTGCATGATTTGATGATTTTACTGATAATGGTTCATTTAAAATGTTTAACAGAAGTAATAATAAGCAGGTTTCTTTTGTATAAATATTACAGATGTGTATGTAGCATTTTCCTCCTTCWATTTATGACTTTTGATGGATAAAACTTGTTGTTTATGACTATCTGGGGAAATAAGTCAAATATACTCATTTCAGACTTCCTGTTAAGGATCTGGCATGGTCTTTGTGCTTCGAATTAGCATATCAACAGTCACCATGGCGTCTCAGAAGACAACTGAAAGAATTTACATTGCCACAAGTCTCTGATGTTTCCACACCCCCATAAGGAATGCCTCTTTTCTTCAAAGGAAAGGGGGTAGGGTCATAAAATGCCATTAACAAGACTCTTCCCTGACTTGAACAAAGGAAGCCGCATGCTTGATTAAATAAAGAAAACTACTCTGTTCTCTTTTTAACTGTTTGCCCACTAAGAACATTGTTCTAACTGTGGGGTTTTTGATGAAATGTTTTTCTGAAAAAGATGTTTCTTTAAACTGTTATTACGAGAGTTAACCTTAGAAAACTTTAGGTTTGAATTTAACTAAATGGACATTGTTATTTTACTGAGGTAAAGCAGATGTCCCTCTCAATTTAATTAGATGCAAGATAATTAGACTAAAACACTTCCATCCTTTGTCTGAAGAAAATGTTTTTCCCTCCAAACATTTGATTTGTTAAAAACTTTACCAAAGTTTTTCAATTGGCTAACTAAAACCTTGACTCCGCCCATAACAGAGGTCTTAAAATTTAATGCAGACATGCAGATGCAACAAAGACAAGACAGAGTTTTAGTTTCTTTGAAACCAGAAACAGCTTCTACAGCAGAAACCCCTTTGCCAGCCCTCCCCTTTGCTGACCAGGATGGGGAGGGGGGGTCATTCAACATCTCCTCTTATTGTCGAAGAGCTCGTTCGTCACATTTCGACTCAATCTCTGAGTTTTGATTTTTATAGGAGTTAAATAAGCTAATGGTAATTCAACCGTTGTTTTAGTCCGTTTTTCTTACAAAGTGAAAATCAAATTAGTCTTAAAGCCACCTGTGAAGGACCAGACTCCGCAGTCACCAGAGAGAGAACCCCTTTCTGACTGAAGGACCAGCAGATGAACAAGACACCCTGAGTGTCTGAACGGCCACCACACTGAAGCAGCTCTTTAGGAAACATCACCTGAGATCCTTTGGTCAGCCGACGCTCCTCCTGGTACCGACATCAGCAGAATACAAGGGTAAAAGGTGAACACTTTGTCTTGGTGAAACATAGGTGCTCAGACGTAGATTTGATTTTTATCTTTGTAGGAGAGTTGGTAAACTAAAAGTTTTTCTCGACCTTAATTTAACTAGGAACCCTTAGTTAAACCACAGAAACAGCTTACCTCTCCTCATTCCGAGCCTCAAACTAACTTCTCAGTGTTTTTTTTTTTTGTTTACACGTTTGTTTGTTTCGTTTGTCTGTTTGTCCATTCACTTGTGATAACAAACTCTCTCAGTTTACCTGGTTCAAACATGTCATCATTCATTCATTGCTTGTCATGGTTGTAAATACATTTAATCTGTAAATAAATGGCCCGTGGAGAACGTGCCAACATAAGCTAATCTCTATTTTTTTGTGTCTTGATTAAGATATTCTGGTTGAGATAAGACAAGGACTCATAGTTCAATTTGGGTAAACTTATTCTGAGACTGATTACAATAAAGTTACAGTTTTTCATTTCTTTCCTGGGTCAGTATCTGATCGAATTAAGAATGTGGTGCTCCGAGGAATAATATATTTAAATATATTCATAGATTATTTCAGAATTCTAGCGTTTAAAATACCCCTACATGTACAATACAGATAAATTCGGTACTGTATTACATTTCCACACCCCTTTTACAAATATTGACACTACACATAACAGTTTTATCATTATCATAATCTAAATGTATGTTTTACAGGTTCTCTGGCTACTGTCACCACTAAGAGTGTTGCTGTGGGCACCACCACATCTCCCTTTCTGCCACTCCATCAGATAATTTTATGGTTTGTTTTGTTTGTTTTGGTTTCTGATTTCATAGTGTTTTGTCCTTCTGTGCAGCTTCCTGGTGAAGTTAGGTGATTGTCAGCTGAGTGTCAAGGAGACTCCTCCCACGACAGTCACATTTTTGTTTATTTGTTCCTTTCTGAGTTGTGGTAGGCTGGGGAGGGGGTATTCTGCTACCTCGAGCCTGGTATGCCACGAAGATGTATTTGAGGGTCAGTTTCACCCATCTGGGTTTTGCTGTTGAGGTCCGGGGAGCTGAGAGTTGCTGTCTAACAACGTCTATGTCATTCACAGAAGGACTAGATCTGAGCTCACTTTAGGGTTTAGCTTAAGTGTAACAAGAGGAGGGGGTGCTATTTCTTTTAGTTTAATTTATTTAGGTTTTAGATTTAGCTTTTGGTGGTTATTTTTTGTTAAGCTTTTGTTTTTTGTTTTCTTCTCTTCATTGCACAAGCCAGCTCATGCCAGTAATCCATACATTTTGAGTTCATGCCTTATGGGCACTGTGGTTTTTTGTTTTTAGTGATTTTGAATTGTTTAGGGCGGAATACAGTTTACCTGAATGGGGTGGGAACTGAATTTTGCACATTGTCCTAATTTGCGTTATTTAAGGTTCATTTATTGACAACTAGTTGTTATTAAGTTAACACATTATCCAAAATAAGAGTCTGATGGCACACAAGTGGTACATGTCATCTAATTCACTGGAAGGGAGAACTTGTGTTGTGATACCTTGTCTAAGTTTTGGACTTTTAAGTTTTTTAAATTTCGACATGTTTTTTCTTCATCAATTCTTCTGATGTGTAATGATGTTTCAGATGTTTCATTTGTCATTTATGGCTTTTTCCTGTTGTATCATACATTGCTTGAATGTATATGTTGTTGGTCGTCATTTGACTTGCACTATTTTTCCCTTATTTTTCCATTTGTTGCTGGGTGATACATTTGTGTTTGGACATTTCATAATTATTCCATTTGGTTTGGTTTTGAGTATTGTTTACTCAAGAGGAGGGATTGTTATGGATTAATTACGTATATCTGTTCTACCTGGACACTGTCCAGTAATCATATCTTATTATGACCAGTTTTGGCTGTTTTACTCTATCAGCCAGACTTCAAGACTCCAGCAATATATAACCCTTTAATTTCTGATAAGGTGTTTCCAGGCTGACGGTGGTTACAGTTGGCGATTTGTGATTGGTTGTAAACTGTCACATAATGTTATCATGATGTTATATTATAGGCTGCTTTCCGCTGACGCGCCAGTCGCAACTCAGCAGATTTCCTGTTTGACTGTCTGCTGTGTTGTTGCTCAGAATTTAATCATTTGACGACCATACACGCAGACTTTCTGTGCATTTATTCCAACATGTTTCTGCATTCTTGGTAAATCATGCCACAACAAATGTAAATAAATTCTAATTATAATAAATTAATAATAGTTTTACTGTACATCTAAAAATCATATTTTATTCTTTTAATCTATTTTCCTCATTCAGCAACCTATTAAARTTCTGTTATGTTTCATGTAGGAAAAATATACATTTTTTCAGTCAGTATTAAATACAGCTGGCTAAATAAATTGTTAAAATATGTTTTATGTGCTTCTGTTTTTTAATTCAGATTATAAAAAAATCCTTCATTTTATGGGAAGACACTCTTTATTCAAGAGAAAACTCTGTTATTTAAAAAAATGGCTGCTTATTAATTAATTGTTAATCAATCTATGAGATAAATCAACTTCAGATTAATTCATTAATCAATAACTTGCATCATTAAGGAGTTAACTTAATTTATATCTATTCATATTCATMTAATTAAGCGTTTTAATGATTTGGCCGATTAATCGATTAATCGAAAAAATAATCAACAGATTAATCGATTATTAAAATAATCGTTAGTTGCGGCCCTATTTCTGTTGTGTGACAAACTCAAAACACAAATTTAATTTTACTTTACACAGTCTTTAAAATTAATGAAATAAAATAATTTTATGACTTCAATGCTTAGATCCACATTACATAAATTAAATTAGTGATAATCTTAAATTTAATCTGCAGACTGTTAGATATCACGAGGCTGTACTTTACTGTGCATCCCTAATGATAGTTCAATTCAATGCAATATTATTTTATTAATCCTAAAGGAAAATTAAATGTTGTTACTCATTATCTTGGTTTCTGTTAAGAGTTGTTACAAATGCTAAGGACTGTGAGCAGGAAGGATCACCTGTAGTGGTCCATCTTTGATCAGAAGAAGTCTCTGACTGAAGACACAGCTTCTAGAAATGTGCTACTCGAGGTGGCAGCATGTTGGAGTAGCTCTGTTACATACATTTTGAGATATCTTTTTTAAACTATTTTGATTTGTCTTTTTCTGGACAAAAAATATTTTTGGATGATTACTCTCTGCTATTAGATTCTGTGTTTGATCTAAGGATTTTTCTAACACATATTTTGCTTCTTGACATTTGTTATGATCTGTAACCATAGCAATTTGATGGTTTGTTATAACCTGGAGCAGCTGATTAACACCTCAAAACCTCAAATAATACCTCAACTACAGCCCCAAATCCCAGATGAGTTGAAAAAGAGGCAGAGGCAATTGGTGCAGAGCAGGAGCAAAGAGAAGAGAGAGAAGGAGGAAGTTCAAACCATCTCTTCCATCATTCAAGATTGGCAATGTGAGACTAGCTATGTTTACATGCACAAAATTTTTTGATCGGATTGAAATGTACACGGATTAAACAATCCAAATGTATTGTTTAAATGGACACAATCCGATCATGACAAGTGTTTACATGCACCGGACTTTTATTCGGAATACAAGTCCGGACATGCGCAGTGTTGTAAACGTTCAGCTCTACTTCCGTGTTACAAACGTAAACAAAACTCTTCTGTGCGCTCAGGACAGAACTGTGTCAGTTTTTAATAATGGTAGGTAGAGACGTTGTTATTCCCCAGTTGAGCTGTAGATGAAGCAATATGTGTTTTTTATTTATTTGTATTTTTTTAGCAAAGCAACATCTGCTGTTTGTCTCCTTTTTCATCTGTAAAGAGAGAGTGGAAAAAAAGTTCTGTGCGATGCAGCGCAGCTGGAAACGCTGCAGAAGACCTGCGCACTCAGGTCAGTTTTCCACAATCAGAATAAGATGATCCGATTAAGTGTTTACATGCAAGTGGTGCTGGGTGGCATGACCAAAATTTTATATCACGGTATTTTCAACATTTACATCAGTTTCACGGTATATCATGGTAATTTTCTTTTCATCACAGGCCAGCTGATAATAAAATGTACAAAACCTGCTTATTAACTTTTTTCTTTTACTGTACCTGTGTCTGTGTCGCCGTTTTCCTCCTGTGTCTTTTTTCTGACTGGTGGTTGGAGACAGTAGTCACGCATTTTGGTCCAGTCGTGAAAGAGGAGGGTTAAGAAAAGATTATTATCGGGTCTATTGTTTTATGTTATTTAATAAAACTTATCAGGAAGACTCACCTTGCACACCACTCAAATCAACTCCACTACAAAACTTCTTCCCCCGGGCTTTTCACAATAGAAGCAAACTAAAGTCTCCATACGTATCCACGTCTCCGTATTAACGTCCCGTGTTAAATCTAACCATGCACATCACTGAAGATGTGTTTACTACATTCAGCGATGGCGAAAACTAAATGTTTTTTTTACATCAGTCAATATGAGCAACGGAATCGCCACCCACCGCTGCAGCTACTCCAACAATAACATTAGCATGCTAATGTACATAGCGGTGCAGCGAGGAAAAAGTGTCCCCTGGGAAACAGTTCACTGGCGGCCGCGATGAAACGTTACGCACGCGTTCAGGCTATTTCAACCGGTATGTCAGTATTCAGAAAATTCATATCATAGCAAAAAAAAACAAAAAAAAAAACGGTTATCGGTACGAACCGGTATACCGCCCAGCACTACATGCACGTCATTCCGATTATCAATCGGCATAACCCACCCCTCTCATTCGGATTAAAAATTCATTCGGATCGAGCTCAATCGGACCAGAATAATCCAAATGGGCAGTTTACAAGACACATTTTTATTCCGAACAGCTGTTTAATCTGATTACTAATGTCCATGTAAACTTAGCTACTACTGTTGGGGAACAAGTTGGACAAACTCCAAAGCCCCAACAAAAACCCAAGAGTATCGGGAATGCAGTATTATATGTTTCTCTGAGACATAGCTGCAAGATTATATCCCCTACTCCATTTAATTTCCCTTTGAGATTAATAAAGTATTTTTGAATTGAATTGAACTGAATTGAATTGTTGTAGAATGACAGTCTGCTGACGTGAATGTTCAGGATTGTCCATTGTGTGGTCAGAAAACCTGGCAGGGAGATGCTGGAGTAGTGTGACACATGATACTGCACTCCCAATACTCTGACTGGGTTCTTGTTAAGGCTTGTAGTTTGTCCAACTTGTTTCCTTTTGATCTCCCATTGCCCTTCATGATCAATGGAAGAGATGGTTTGAACTTTCTGAACTTCCTGGCTGTAGTTGAGGTGTTATTTGAGCTTTTTGAGATGGTAAATCAGCTGCTCCCAGTTGTAACAAACTTTCTATGGATATGCATCATGGCAAATGTCCAAAAGCAAAATATGTTTTAAAAAATCCTTCCAGGTGCACAGCATCTAATAACAGAGGGATTAGTCATCCAAGAAAGTGTTTTTTTTACCAAGAAAGAGAGTAATTAAAAAAAGTTTTAAAAGAAGAAGATCTCAGAATGAATGTAACAGAGCTACTCCCAACATGCTGCTACCCTGAGCAGCACAATTCTAGAAACCTAGTTATAGTTGAACAAAGAAGGGATCACACAAAAGCATGGTTGAGTTTTTCCAAGTTCTGCTCCTGGTGTTATCAGTTATCAGACAGACTGTTTAACTATAAATCTTTGTCCTGAGAGACTCACGGTGGTGAATTTGTGTGCAGGGATCTTTTCCTGACCCTCTGCAATGGTGTAGAAGAGCAGATCCTCGAGGCTGGGCAGGATACCTGGTTTCCTTCTCCTGGAGGAAACACAAACAAACCAAAAGAAGTGAGAACCATCAGAAACATAAGCACAGAGCGAAAACTGTGTTTGAAACATGGAGAGGAGCTGCAGCAGAGGGAGGAGAGGCTCTGCAAGGAGAAGCAGTAAATAAAATCTAAACTCTACAATAAATTGGCCTTACAGCACCATTTAAACCTGTGGAAGATATCTGAATCTGCTCTGTGAGATTTAAAACACTAATAAAGATGATCATTCCTTAGTTTCCACAGGTTAACCTGCTGCCATAAGACCATATTAGTGAAACTATTGAATATCAGCCAGGAACCTGTTAAAAAGTTAATTTATTTAGAGTCCAGATTGTGATTTTTTTTTTTTTGTCAAAAATATGATGGAGCCTTCTAGGCATCTTCATCATGTCGTGAGGTTTCAGGGTCAGCTCAGTCTGAACAACTGGAGCTGTGAGGTGGTGGTCTGCCAACAACACTGGTCAACACTGGTGTTCAGAGGCCAGCTCAGTGTCCTGCTGCTATAAAACCTCAGCATTATCTGAGCATCGTTAACAGAAGGTGCTGATGCTCCAGCACACTTAAAAATGAAATTAAATCAATTTTCACATGAAATCTCATCTTAAATGCATAAGATTGTTTTTTTTTTTTTTGTTTGTTTGTTTGTTTTTTTACACCGGCTGATACTCAGTACATTTCCTAACCAAGTTGTCTCTAAGAGGATTGTTAGTTGTGGATCAGGACAGAGAGGGTCAACCCACCCCCAGCCGCCTCTCAGCTATGCTTCATATTAGAGGATTTATGGTAACTCTCTGAAAGCCCAGGCTTACGATGACCTGCAATGCATCATTGGAACACTAGTTTGAATGGGGTTGTCTGAAGGTAAGCTTTGAGATAGAACGTGGATCCACATTGCAGCTTAGAACTCGAACTGAGGGACAGTTTCAGCTTTACTGTTGTTTAAAATAAGAGATATTTTTAATGAGATGCAGGTGTATTTGTAAAATGTCAGAGTTTTACTTTTCATGTAAGTAGGGTTAAGCGATATTGGCAAAAAAATCAATCACGATTAATTGTGGTGTGTAGCCGATAATGATTAATTTGACAATTAATCCCCTGGAGTCCCTGGACACCCTCATGTCCTAGTCACATGACCAATTTGTTGGGAACGATTTGCTCTTGGTAAAAAAAAATTTCAAACTGTGTCAAAATCACAGACTTCAGGCTATACTTCAAATTTTAAATTGTGTTGATAAATAAATTACAGAACTTTTGTTTAAATGTTCATCATATTTGAAGCGGAGAAGAGCACCGAGCAGACTGACCGGTAAAATCTCCAGTCAGTCAGCCTGGTGGCATTAATCGTATAAATCGTCAAGTGCCAAAAAATAATCGATTAATGTTTTTCTGACGATTAATTGCAGAAGATACGATTATGCCCAACCCTACATGTAAGTCTGGTTAAATGCTTGTTGGCTTCTTACCTATTTGATGTAAAAGATGTAAAACGCATTTCAAACAGTGGGTTTACTAGATATTTTTGGATTTTCTATCAGTGTGGTTTTGAAGTCAGAAATTTTTATGTTTTTTTAATTAGTTAAAAAAAATAAAGGACAAGTTTGGACTGTGCTAAAATGCATCTTTTGATATGTATGTCACTCAACACAAAAAGGCATGTAATAGACTAACCTCTGGGTGTATACTGTATGTCTGTTAGCAAAATATCTCATTAATCAAATAATGGATTTTATTGAAAACTTCAGAATATAATCACTGGATCTTCAACTTGACAGATACTGACAATATAAAACAATATTGTTCACTTTTTAAAAACTCTTTAATTGGCCTGTAAACAAATAATCAGTTACCAAATAGGAAGCTGAAGCAGCCACTACTACAACCAGCTCACTGTAGCCTAAATTTTAGCTTTTTAATTAGCTAATCAATTATTATATTTTTTATTGTGTAGGTTCTTTGACAGATTAAAATATGTTTTAAGGGAAAAAGCAATTATTTTACACATATTATCTGGTTTGTTAAAATCACCTCGGGTCATGTGTCTGGACTCTGTTGCCATGGTTATACACCTCTGTATCAATGCTGGACATTAAAACAATAAAGTTATACTTGAAGTTAACTTGGGAAGCCTCTAATTCTGCTTCATGGTACAGATGTTTTTTTCCAGCTGATAAACATTACCATAAAGGACCAAAGTTAATTCTAAGCTCATTCTGTGCCTCTCAGGAGCAGAAAACAGCTAGATCTGAAGTCTTTCACACATTTCTTCAACTACAACAGGGTTGTCACTACTAGCGAATCAAACTACAACCCCTGGCAAAAATCATGGAATCACCGGCCTTGGAGGATGTTCATTCAGTTGCAGAAAAAATGCAGATCACAGACATGACACAAGACTAAAGTCATTTCAAATGGCAACTTTCTGGCTTTAGGAAACACTAAAAGAAATCAAGAAAAAATGTGGTACTCAGTAACAATTACTTTTTTAGACCAAGTAAGAGGGAAAAAATATGGAATCACTCAATTCTGAGGAAAAATTTATGCAATCACCCTGTAAATTTTCATTCCCAAAACTAACACCTGCATCAAATTTGATCTGCTCGTTAGCCTGCATCTATAAAGGAGTGATCACACCTTGGAGAGCTGTTGCACCAAGTGGACTGGCATCATGGCTCCAACACAAGAAAGGTCAATTGAAACAAAAGAGAGGATTATCAAACTCTTAAAAGAGGGTAAATCATCATGCAACGTTGCAAAAGATGTTGGTGGTTCACAGTCAGCTGTGTCTAAAATCTGGACCAAATACAAACAACATGGGAAGGTTGTTAAAGGCAAACATACTGGTAGACCAAGGAAGACATCAAAGCATCAATGACAGAAAACTTAAAGCAATATGTTTCCAAAACAGAAAATGCACAACAAAACAAATGAGGAACAAATGGGAGGAAACTGGAGTTTACGTCTGTGACCAAACTGTAAGAAACTGCCTGAAGGAAATGGGATTTACATACAGAAAAGCTAAACAAAAGCCATCTTTAACAATTAATTTTTTAAAAAGAAAAAAACAAGATTAAAATGGGCTAAGGAAACGCAATCGTGGACTGTGGATGACTGGATGAAAGTCATATTTAGTGATGAATTGAGAATCTGCACTGGGCAAGGTGATGATGCTGGAACTTTTGTTTGGTGCAGTTCCAATGAGGTTTATAAAGATGACTGCCTGGAGAGATCATGCAAATTTCCACAGTCATTGATGATGTGGGGCTGCATGTCAGGTAAAGGCACTGGAGAGATGACTGGCATAACATCTTCAATAAATGCACAAGTTTACAATTATAGTTTGGACACTTTTCTTATCCCATCATTTGGAAGGATGTTTGGGGATGATGAAATCATTTTTCAAGATGATAATGCATCCTGCCATTGAGCAAAAACAGTGAAAACATTCCTTGAAAAAAAGACATAAGGCCAATGTCATGGCCTGCAAATAGTTCGAATCTCAATCCCATTGAAAATTTTTGGTGGAAGTTGAAGAAGATGGACAAGGCTCCAACCTGCAAAGCTGATCTGGCAACAGCAATCAAAGAAAGTTGGAGCCAGATTGATGAAGAATACTGTTTGTCATTAATTAAATCTATGCCTCAAAGACTAAAAGCTGTTATAAAAGCCAGAGGTGGTGCAACAAAATATTAGTGATGTGTTGGAATATTTTGTTTGTTTTTCATGATTCCATAATTTTTTCCTCAGAATTGAGTGATTCCACTTTTTTTTTACCTCTGCTTGGCCAGAAAAAGTAACCGTTAAATGCCACAATTTTTTTCTTGATCTCTTTTAGTGTTTCTTAAAGCCAGAAAGTTGCCATTTGAAATGACTTTAGTTTTGTTTCTGTGATCTGCTTTTTTTCTAAAAAAAAAAATTGAACAACTGAATGAACATCATACGAGGCCGGTGATTCCATAATTTTTGCCAGGGGTTGTAAATGTAATATCTTTTATGGTGTTTAGTAAGGTTGTTGTTGTTTTTTAAGTACCAAAATTACTGGCAGTTTTTGCTGCCATTTTTGCCAGGGGAATTTTCTGCACCCTGCCTGAACATGAATCCCTTCCATTTGATGCTGTTGGTTGACTTCATCAATAAAGCCTGCAGGTGAGAGAATGGGAATGGGAAAAAGGGGAGTATGGAGGAGAAGTTGGACAGGAAGAGATTTAAGCACAGCCACTGGGAGGAAGTGAGATAGAAAACCTCTACTGCTACTGGAAAACATGTTCTTGACTCAAATTAAAACTGAAATAAAAAGAGAAACATACTTACAAATGCAAAGAAAGCAGGTCAACAACAGGAACAGAGAGATGAGCAGAAGGAATAATATGAATTAGTAGGACATATTTACAGTTCATTTAGCAAAAATTGCAAACAAGTTTTAAATTCATATTCAAACAAAAAATATACGTAAAATAAATATTTTTCATCAAAAACTGAACTGAACTGAAATAAAAAGATGTTTTATGCTACGTGATAAGTAGTTGCTAAACATTTCGTCCGTCCATCTACACTCACCGGCCACTTTATTAGGTACACCACGCTAGTAACGGGTTGGACCCCCTTTTGCCTTCAGAACTGCCTCAATTCTTCATGGCATAGATTCAACAAGGTGCTGGAAGC